GGTGAGAGCTAGTGGTTGAAAGTAGGGGGTGCATTTGGATTGGGCCTGAATTGCTCTCTGAGTAAAGCCAAAAACGATTTGAAACAGCAAATAAATAAAAACAATAAGTGGAAAAGGAGTATTTTATGTATTACAAACACAGCTGTTTATATTTAGATTAATGAATGTATTTTTAAATTGCCATTAAAAATGCGATTTGAAAATACATTTTCAAATTGTAGTGTTTAATAATGGGTTCATTAATACAATCTGTTTTTTCCAATTTAATCTAAATTGTGTAATAGCATCATGCTTTTTAAATGGAAAATCTAAAAGGAAAAGTTAAATGTTAAATCTAAAATTATTCTATTTCTTTTTGACTGACTCTTCTGGTCCTCCGTACTTTCAATCTTCTTCCCTTGGCTTCTCATCAAAATTTATAATCCTATTTAAGTTTCTCCGGATTGCATTAAGAGCCTTGGGTTTTTAGCAGGCTCTCTAAATGAAGGAAATAGTAGTCAGGATTACCAAGTAGAACCGCAAAATAAGAATGTGGACATGTTTGTGTTCCTTATAAGTGTTGCTGTTTTTCTTTAATAAGATGCAATTTGTAGCTGACTAGCTACACAGCTTTCCCAGAGCTGTACATCCAGAATGTACACACTGACTCATGCACGCTCAGCATGCTCTTACGCCACATACAAAACACAGGTTTCCACGCAGCGTACTGCAGAAAAAACACACCAGATTCTCCAAACCACGATAGATTCAGATGACAATGCAGCAATGTCTGAAAAATAACTGTCCATTCAGCACCTCAGATGTCTCTTTGGGGAGTTAAACTCAGCAGAAATTAATTCTTTAATGAGATTTGCTTTGGCACCAAGGGAAGATTCTGTGTGAAAAATGTTTGTAGCAAGGTATGGCGTCCACTAAGCCAAATTAAGGACTGTTAGAGTGGATTGCTGTGTTTGATCCTATTATGATAAATCATAACTAAATGTCTCCTCTTCATGGCAGAGAGGTTTAAAACAGATATCAAACATCTTTTGCAAAAAAAGTCCTGCTGCCTGCTTGGAGTCTTACAGATTGAGGATGATTTAAAAAGTATTGCACAATAATGACTCCTGCCTTTAAGCCCAAAACTTTGCACTGATCTGACAACGTATACGTAACTACAATTTGCAATGACTTAAAATGAATCGTTCAAAATCAACGCAGGATGTTGAGATATGAATGTACAGGAAACAAATGAGGGATAAAATGTAGCTTACTTTGACATCCGCCTTCTTGTTGAGGAGACTCTTGGCTGCTGCAGAGAGGCAGAACGACACACCCTCAGATGGAAGAGTACACATCATAAACATATGTGTCACCACAACTCCTAAAGTTTGCTCACAAAGATGCACATGCAGTTATCCATGCATGCACAGCAAAAAAAAGGAGAAAAAAACTTGCTTAAAAGCAAGATTAAAATACAACAAATAAGTGTTAAAAAAAAGAAAAAAATCCTCTCGTTAAAAAAAAATAAAAAAATCACCCAAAAACTTACTCAAACAACACATAGAAAATATATCCGTCCGACTGGCTCCTCCTAAACCTGATTTGCTGTTCAGAGCATTAGATAAGCAGTGGGCATCATCCATGAGGGGGAAAAAAAGTCTAATTCTCTATATAATCCTAACGCAGTCATACACAGCTGCACACACAGCAGCAGCTACTCGGGAGGATTAGGAATGGAGCTATGGAGGAAGTGGAATAGAGCTGCAGGTAAAGGATAATGGGTTGTTAAGCACTAGAGTAGGCTGGAGTTCATCGATGGGTGCAGGAGGATTTGAAGGCATATAAACACAGTAGGAAGCCAGAGAGCATTGCTCCGGTGCTGAAAGGCTTTTTCTGTAATAATAACAATGACAGAGAGACTAACAGGGCTGATGTTAATCCCTCATCAGAGTGACACCGAAGCTCTGTGTGCAGCTAGCATCCAACACGGCAACTTTTTACCCCTTTATGTTTAAAGCTTGACATTTAAATCCTGCATTTGGACAACTCTTCATGCATTTGCCTCCCAGTTCTATGGAGTGACTTTTGTTTCATTATTGTTGAAAGCAAAGAAGAAATCTTCTAAATAAAAAATTGTAAAGCAAACATATTTAGTAAATTGAGATTTTTTTTAAAAAGCGCTGATTGCTGTTTTCTGTAGTTTTTTTTCCTCAAATGTAATTATTAAAATAGTTTTTTTTTATTGTATTTTAAATCTTTTTTTTTTACATACTTTATATATATATTTTTTTTAATGTTACATTTTTTTATAATTTTTTATGTTCACATTCTTTCTATTCTTCTTTTCCAGATTTCATTCTCTTCACTTCTGGCGGTGGGATTTCCTCTGGATTGAGGAACAAAGACACGTTTCTATTGGTCTCCTTGACATTAGTAACAATGATTTTCATTGGTCAATCTGTGTGTCAAGAGCAACATTAGTATTTACCTTGAAGTAAAGAGAATGTGATCTGAGAAATGCAGTTTTAAATAATTCAGTTCGTAAAACTAAATATGAAAAGCTGAATTTTGACCAAAAAACCCCCGAAAATATATAATAAAAAAATATATATGAAAAAATAAAGTGGAGAAAAAATTATTGAAAAAAACAAATCCGACAAATTTAAAACCTTTTTTAATATATATATATATATATATATATAAAACATTTCTAAGTTTATATCAAGATTGGATATTTTCCAAATTTCCATTTACAAAAAGGTTTCTGTGCTTGCAACAATAATGGAACAACATTCACTCCATATATTCCTAGCATAATTGAAAAGAGATGAATAATCAATACACTCATCTTGAAGATGAGTGAGGAAGCTGCTTACCTTGGCAAGTATTTAAGATGCATTAGGAGAAAGATTTATAGAGAGATTAAAACAAGCCAAGAGAGGGTGAGTGATGCGACTCTGGAAGGTTATATTTGAACTGAGTGAGATCTGAGAGAGTGTCAAGTGATTTTACAGCCTTAAGGAAGGGATGGAGAGGAGGGTTCAAATGTTCACATCTGAGGTGGATTCACCTTGTTCCACGATGCCGGCGGTTGTTCCTCCCACCCCGCTGACAGCAGCCGGGGCCGTGGTCTGTCGACCCACTGAAACACAGCAGAGAGAGAGAATACAACATTTTTTACATGG